CGAGGTGCTAGGGATGCAACAGTATTTAAATCAAATAAGATATGGTTCCAGTCTTCTGGAGCTGATAGTCTCACAGAGAAAGAAAATTAATAAACGATCTGAATAAAGTAAACTCAGTCCTGTGACAGGGAAAGCACAGGGCACTACAGGAGCAGACAGCCTGAGGTGATAGCTCCAGTCAGCTACTAGAGTACATCATCAGTCACAATAATGAGAATGCCGATTATATTCTGGATAGCTAAAGCCTTTGTTTACTAAAGTTATTCAGGAATACCCGATGATTTTCTTCCAGTTAACCTACTTCTTAACCCCATCACAAATATAAAGCCTACCAATAAAAAGTTTACCTTTGGAATTCCTACTCTGATCTTTTTTCTTCAGAATTTTTATTATGAAATCATTAGAATATGTGGTATTAAGTCCTTATACTATTTTACTCATAACTACTTGATCACAGTACTCAAATCCCAATCAAAACTAGAAATATAAAACATGTGAAACTCCATTGCTAACAGTACCTGCTGTAGACAAGAATACATACATGGATATTATTGATTTCTAAAATGAAATGTGGTAAAATCTACATTTTCAACAGCAGAGTAAGATAAAATATTACATTGGAATAGACTGAGTAGCCACAAGACCACAAAGGTGATCACACTACTGGGGCAGGAGGATCGTACCACACAAAACAATCATTAGTTCCCTAATGGACAGGAAATAGGAGTCCAGATCCTTACAGTGCAATGCTGACAATTTCAAGTATAAAGAGTCAAAAGAAATGCTTGTCCTTCCTTTTTCATTTTCTGTAATAGAATAATAAAAATCCATAGGACATTGGGAAATAAACATTTTAAATTATATAAAATAGAAAATCTTGCATTTCATTTTTAAAAAAGCATACCATGAAGCTGGATCTGTGATGTTTACAACTTAAGAAGTCACTTCTGGGGGTGCCTGGGTGGCTCAGTAGGTTAAGCCTCTGCCTTCAGCTCGGGTCATGGTTTCAGGGTCCTGGGATCAAACCCTCATTGGGCTCTCTGCTCAGCGGGGAGCCTGCTTTCCCCTCTCTCTCTGCCTGCCTCTTTGCCTACTTATGATCTCTCTCTCTGTTAAATAAATAAATAAAATCTTTAAAAAAAAAAAAAGTCACTTCTGGAATGTCATTTAGGCCAGGCAGAAATCAAGAGCATAAAATAACAAAAATGTTCATATGACAGAAGAGGATATGATCTGATCTAAGCCCCAGAAAGAGAGGTCAAAGACAGTCAAACTAAATCAAAGAGTTGTCTTCATAAATCAAAAGAATCAGGACTGGGAACAAGTTTTCTAAATGCAAAGAAACTTTAATTAACAATATTTATTAACATTGTTAGTAAGTATATTGACCCTGATGTGGAAGATACCTCAGGAAATTAAGCAGACACTGAGAACTCAACTTGATTAGAATCAACTGAATCAGAAAATCTGATAGAAAATGTACAGACTTTGTAACTTATTAAAGACAACTGACAACTTACTTATATTTATATTTAGCCTCCAAAAATTCTTTGTGGAATTAGAAAGCATATAGATAACATGTAATATTTAGCAGCTAAAATTTTCAGTGAGTTAAACAACAAATTAAAATTTAAGACAGATTTTTCCAAAATATTTATATCTGAGGGTGACTTGCTGGCCCAGTTGGTTGAGGTCATGATCTCAGGGTGGTAGGATAGAGCCCCATATCGGGCTCCACACAGAGTCTGCTTATCCCTCTCACTCTGCCTCTAGCCCTACTCACCTGTCCTCCACCCTCTAAAATAAGTAAATAAAATCTTTTAAATAAAACAAAAAAAATGTATCTATACCCAATTCACACTTTTAAATTATCTTATTAAAATACTGTATAGGAAGAGCTACATTTTAGGGGCACCTGGGTGGCTCAGTGGGTTAAGTCTCTGCCTTCGGCTCAGGTCATGATCTTAAGGTCCTGGGATGGAGCCCTGAATCAGGCTCTCTGCTCGGCGGGGAGTCTGCTTCCCCCTCTGCCTCTGCCTGTCTCTCTGCCTACTTGTGATCTCTCTCTCTGTGTCAAATTAATAAATAAAAAATCTTAAAAAAAAGAAGAGTTACATTTTAAATCTGTGTGTATAGTGTGTACACAGAGATATACACACATTGGTTACCTCAAGACAAACAAATATGAAACTGTCTTCAAATTTCCGCTGGTCGTAGCAATTTGTTCAACAATAGAAGTTAGCTCTTTCTTGCTTCTATTCTATAAATGGAACATGCTACCCCCAATCATTTTCGGAAAGTGGTACATTATAAATAATTCAGTAAATTTTGTTATTTAAGAAACCAAATCCAGAGGCACCTGGGTGGCTCAAGTCATTAAGGGTCTGCCTTTGGCTCCTGTCATGATCCCAGGGTCATGGGATCAAGCCTGCATGGCACTCCCTTCTCAGTGGGAAGCCTGCTTCTCTCTCTCCCACTCCCCCTGCTTGCGTTCCCTCTCTCACTGTGTTTCTCTCTGTCAAATAAATAAATAAAATCTTAAAAACAAACAAAAAGAAACCCAACCCAAAACTAACTGTTGAGGAAAAAAAAACCCAACAACAATCTTTCCTAGCTAGTCCAAATTTGTCACAATACTGATACCGAGCCTAGATTAAACAAATGGAGGGGCACCTGGGTGGCTCAGTTGGTTAAGCAACTACCTTTGGCTCAGGTCATGGTCCTGGAGCCCCAACACTGAGTCCTGCATCAGGCTCCCTGCTCAGCAGGGAGTCTGCTTCTCCCTTTGACCCTCTCCCTTCTCATGCTCTCTCTCTCAAATGAATAAATAAAATCTTAAAAAAAGAAAACAAATGGAATCTGTGATTATAGTTCTGGAATTTTAAAAAGTATTTAAATGAAGTACATGACTTATAAGGATTTACTAACTGAGATTCTCATTCTGAATAACAATCTATGTCTAAGAAGTTACTTTTATGTCTTCTTAGTAATCATTAAGTAAATTTTATTTAATCTGCTCACATATGATACTCACTAAATTAAAATATTGAAATTATAGAGTAAATTCAATAGAACGTCTGAAAACATTTTATTTATATTTCATTTTAGTCAAATACTTATTTTCCAAATCTATAAGGCCATCTGTCTCAAGTTTAAAATTTGTAATATTACTTGGAAAACTATTTTTAAAAAGTGATTGAAGAACATTTCAACACAGAGTGATGAAATGCACAATTTTCAAAGGTTACATGAAACAGTTAAATACATATATATAACATTAAAAACTCTTTATTTAAAAACACTTACTAAAATGGGAAAATGTGACACAGTAAAATAAAAATTTTTTCAAACTCATCACTTTAAAGAATACAGACATAGATTATGATATATACAAAAGAGGAAATAAATCACCATCTGTCATTAATGGGAAATGTTGCATGCTTTCAAAATAGCCATAATTTTAAGTCAGACAAAACGTTGTTTACGGGGAATGCTTCTTTTATTTGAGAGTCTCTTTAAAGGCGTTTTAAATTCCGCTTACTCTGGGCACTTCCTGGAAGAGCATCTTTTCTAGTTCTTGGCTTTGCTGCTCCTCTACTACATTCTTCAGACCCATGGTAAGCACACAAACATAACACACAAAAGTCAAAACCACAGGCTGTGCGGCTACACAGTCCCCTTTTCTTATATGGCTGGTACTTAGCAGGGGATTGGCACCTGGGGCAAGGTTTTAAGGCTTCATCAATAAATAGTGTTTTGGCAACCTGCAGTGAGAGCATACACACTAAATCTTCCAATTTCATCCAGAGAATCACTTTATTTCAAACTCTAAATATTTATTTCTAATAACTTATGAGAAATACTCACCTTAACATATGCTTCCTGTTTACTACTTAAGGGGGTAACAGAAGAACTTGCTATAGGTGTCAAAACTTCTCCCCAAGGAGAAAATGTTGAAACTTCTCCTTTCTGAAAACCTGGTATCTTAGCCTGAGCTTGCACGGATCTTAAAGCTGATCGATTTAAAAGATGGAGCCTAGTGGCGGCATCCTCAACATTTACTCTAGCTCCCTGCAGTAAAGGAGAAGAAGGATCAGTACCGTAATATCAAAAGTTCCAGAACAGTTTTCTGATGCACGTGTATTTAAACACCGAAAGTGATTTCACACTAAATTCCACTAGAATTTTCTCCCTAAACTTTCCTTTTTAGATGAAAAATCTCTTATCTAACATTTAAATGTCAAAGAAATATAGAGGAACAATGTTAAAACAAAAATGTTAGCTTTAAGCTTGCATGATTGGTTATTTTTCTGATTAAGGCATGGGTTGGCAAACTTTTCCAGAAAAGGGCCAAATAGGGTATATTTTACATTTTGCAGGCCAGATAGTCACAGCTACTCAACTGCCATTTTAGCAAAAGAAGCTGTAGTGATATGTAAATGAAAGGGCAAGGCTGTGTTCCAAAGCAACTTACTTTAAAAACAGAAATGATGGACAGGATTGGCCCACAGACTAGAGTTGGCCAAACCCCTCTTTTAAGTCAAGGTTTGTTTTTTGGTTTTTTGAACTTTTAATTTTTTTTTAAAGATTTATTTTATTTTTTCGGTGTTCCAAGATTCATTGTTTAAGTCAAGGTTTAAGAAGAGGCAAATCTTTGTAAAGTTTGCTATGGGGTATCATGGAATTCTTTGAAGGTTTCTTACCTTAGCCACATGTCAGAAGAATAATGGGCCTGGTTAGACCATGAAATCTAGTTAGTTTAGTTAGTTTTTACAATATGTGTAAGTACTGGAATCATTTTTATACTTACATTTTAATAAAAAAATCTTTGGTATTTTAAAAGGAGAAAAAAGGTATCTCTTCTCTGAACTGGATTTCCACATTACTTAAATATTCAGCCTAGAAATATTTTCAATAAGCCCTCTATTTTGTTCAGGTTGATAATGGAAAAATACAAGATTTTGTTTTTGTTTTTGTTTTTTTTTTTTAACAAATTGGCATTCTTGAACATTTAGCAAAATAAAATGTATTGAGAGTGAATTTCCTCATGTGTCTACCTAAAACTGTGCTTCCTCTCCCTTGATAGTTTCCCTTTGCCACAACTGGCTCCTAAAAGTAAGGAGAGAGAAAATAAGAGAAATTATAGAATGATAAATATAGGAAATAAGATTAGCTGGTCGTGAAAAATTCTGTGATTAACAGTTAAAACAACATAGGCATAAGTGTAATGGATGAATATTGGTTTTCTAAAACTAGAATGAATACAAATGAACTTTTTCAAGGACTCAATACATTTCTTTATAGGACATTTGTATAAATAACTTGCAGCCTAGGACACAAGAACACGACACAATAGCATACCAAAATTTTGATGGATTTCGATGTGGTTGGTAAACACAGTGATTGTGTATGAACCAACAAAATGAATAGAGATACATTGTTGAAACACATTTCAGCTACAGAATAAATATTCATTTATTTAACAAATATTTATAGAACTCCTAAAGGTGCCAAGTGAATAAAACAGTCTAAACCCAGGCCTCCTAGAGTTTAAAACGTGTGCTTCCATCTCTGAGCAAAGGAGGCAAAGCAGTCAACCAAGGCACATATTCGTGAGGGTCGAAATTTTTCAAAGATGGTCACATCATGTTACAGGAAGATATTTAAATGTGAGAGTGGAGTCCCTGTATGGTTGTTCATTTCCATGGTTATAAGAAAATAGTGAGGAATACAGTAAATTAAGAAATTCGATGGAAAAGGCGTATCCCAATTTTAACACTCATTCTCACGGCTGCAAAGCAAATAGATGAAATTGAGATCCTATGACACGTAGCTGGTGTTTGCCTTCTAACTTTTATACGTAAGGAGATTTCAGAGACATTATACAAGTATGAGGAAAACCATCAAACAAGTTTGTCTTGTAATGTTTCTATTTGGGTCAATGATACACATTAAGATAGTTCACGGGGAAAGCAACCGGTCCATATCAGAATAGGGTGGCAAAGTGCACCAGGAAGGATGTCTCTAGGGAGAGGAAGGAACAGGAAGAATACCTGATTTGTCTGGACTTACACAGAGGAGATTTCCAGTTCTGGTGGATAATAGAAGATGAATCGGGGATCTGTACAGAGAAACACTAAGCAAAACAAAAGAAAGAAACTAGGCAATTATTAACTCTGGAAAAAAAAGTTATATAGAAAAAAGGTGTAATCATAGTGTACTGCATGTTTCAGCTGTCAAAAACTCATAACGTCAACACAGTCTTAATAATGTCAGCACCTAATTCTGATTCACTCCCAAATAGTGGTGTGGTTACATTAGTGAGACAGGAGAAAAGAAGAAAGGAGTTCAGAGAGACGGTCGGTGGGTGGGTAGGTAGTGGTAGAAGTGGTGAGAGGTTGGAGAACAAATTCTTAAAAAAAAAAAAAAGTGAAGAAATAGCAGGAAAGGCATGCTATTTAGAAATGTAGAGGTAAATCTGAAAAGGAACAAATGAAGAATTGAAAGTGATTAACTTGGGGCAAGAATCAAGGGTAGGAAGAGACAGGCAAGAGAATGTGTTTTGTTATAAGCCTTGTAGCCCAATTTGACTTTTTAAACCATGTACTTGTTTTACTTTGAAAAAAAAATTAAAAAGCAAACCATAGTAAGAGAAAAAGGTTCAAGTAAGGAAAAAGTATAGTCCTTTAAGAAATAAAGTTGGAACAGGGACGCCTGGGTGGCTCAGTTGGTTAAGCGGCTGCCTTCAGCTCAGGTCATGATCCCAGCGTCCTGGGATCGAGTCCCACATTGGGCTCCTTGCTCGGCGGGGAGCCTGCTTCTCTCTCTGCCTCTGCCTGCCATTCTGTCTGCCTGTGCTCACTCTCTTTCCCTCTCTCTCTGACAAATAAATAAAATCTTAAAAAAAAAAATACTTTAAAAAAAAAAAAAAGAAAGAAAGTTGGAACAAAGAAGTGGTGGCCAGGAGATGAAGACAGAATATTTTATCTAGAATGACCTTAAGTGTTGCCAAACACAACCACATTTCTTTCCTTGTAGGATGTACAATATACATGGAGCTAACAGTTTAATATTAATAGATGCTTGCTTAAAAAATTTTTGGGGGCGCCTGGGTGGCTCAGTTTGTTAAGCATCTGCCTTTGGCTCACATCATGATCCCAGAATCCTGGGATCCAGCCCCACTCTGACTCTCTGCTCAGCAGGCAGTTGGCTTCTCCCTCTCCCTCTGCCTGCTTCTCCCCGTTTGTGCCCTCTCTCTCTCTCAAATAAAGAAATAAAATCTTTTAAAAAATTATCTTTTTAAGGGGCTCCTGGGTGGCTCAGTTGGGTAAAAGTCTACCTTCAGCTTAGGTCATGATCCCAGGGTCCTAGGATCCAGCGCCTCGAGTCTGGCTCACTGCCCAGTGGGGAGCCTACTTCTCCCTCTCCCTCTGCTGCTCTTTCTCAAATTAATAAATAAAATCTTTAAAAAAAACTGTTTTTTAAATAAGTCCTTAGCACATAGAGCAGCACTCTAAAAAGATCAGAAGTTAAGAAGGCGATTTATATTTTCTCGATTATAAGCTCCCAGGGCCAGAAGCTGCAACAGGTAAGTGGCCAGGAACTATAAGCTATAAGACAATGTCATAGGTGAAAAAGGTTAAAACTTTTCTTCAAAGTAAAATGGAGTCAACATTTTAGTTAGGTGCAGTCCCTGATATTTCATCATAATGAGAAACCTACTAATCTGTATGTAGGTATTAATATTTGTTTAAACCATGTGTCAGCTCAATTATCATATTTTGTCAAATTAGAAATTTACTTATGTCATTAAATGCTTTTTACTAGAACAAGGATGAGAGAGTGAACTCTTGTGGTTTCTCTTAATACTGATGGCCAAGAAAGGTCTGAAAGTTGCATATACAGTACACACGGGTGCCAGAGTTATGAGATGTCTATGAGATGCACAAAGTAGTGTCACTCAGAAGAATTAATCAGCTTCTGCAGAACTTTTCCTGTCAATTCAAAGCTGGTTCTCAAATCTTCAAGAAAATACAAGCTTATGATGCTTTACCAGGGCTTGTCTGCCACACTCACTCACTTCCAGGCCTTCCTCGATGCTACAGAAACACTCCTCCCCATCTTCACTCAGTAAGCCACTCACTCCATCCTTCAGGTCTCAGCAGAGTTGTGCTTCTTCTGAAAAGCCTTCTCTTGATTCCCAAGTGTCAAATGCCCCTTTAAGATGTTCCGGTAGAAAAAACTCTGGGCTGCCCCTAACACACTTATATTATAATCACCTGTTTATTTGTATCACCCATGGGGCATGAACTCCAAGAGAGTGGGCACCATTTCAGAAAGGTTCACCATTGTAATCTGAGCAATTGGCACATAGTATCCACTCAAAAGACTAGATAGAAAATGCTATAAGGACATCTAATTATGAATAGGATCCGGCAGAGCCCTGGTATTCAAACCCTGCTAACAGCACACACACTTCAACAACAAACCCTAGGACGCTCTTGATGCTGGGCAGTCTACTTCACTTATAGACTGGAAGGAAATGGAGTTTGGGAGAGATAAAACATCCATGAGTGAATGTTTGCTAAATGAAAAATGGTTAAAAGATAGCAGGAAAACCAAATTAGGTTGTCTGGCAATTTGTGATTATTATTTTTACAAATCCATTTGAGAAAATATTGTATACATTACCTCAGAATCTGCTTTCAGTTGTGAGATATAGAATTTCCTCCTCCGATTTGCTTTTTTATCTTGAACAATAATTTCACGCCAATTTCTGCTCACTTTCCAAACACTACAACAAAATCATTGGTCTTTATAGTGCACATATTCCATAAAATTAACATTTTTGCATATGGAAATTAATAAGAAAAACTTGTTTTAAAGATTTTGGACAGTAAAATATGACTTGACCTACATTGTTGTCCCATATTGTTTCACCATACAAAAGAATTCCCATTAAAATATTAAGTACATGCTAGCATTATATCAATACGTTATTATCTTACAAATGGTTAAAGGAAAAACATAGTTTCATATAAAGCCAATATAAGTCCACTGGGAGACTGATTAAGAGGATTTACATTCAAATGTGCAACTAAAATCAAAACTTTGGAACACAACGTGTAGAAAATGATTATCATCCATACAGAGCAAGGGGTGTTTATTCCTCCTACGAATGCACTTAACAAATTTATCATTTTGTTTAAACAAACATTAGAACTATCAATAATTCAATGGACATACTAAGTGCCAATCATTATGATGGGTAACACTACAAAGTTTCTGTTTTAGAAACCAAAGTTGATAAGAATGAAGCAGATAAAAGAGCAAACAAACAAAAAAACTCAATTATATCCAGTGATTGCCCATTTATCAATAACTTTGGCTATACAAATTATGAAAGAAAAGATAATCTCTCAGCTGCTAATCTGGTCTTTTTTATTACTCTAACTTAAATCAAAGGGAATAAGATCAGACAATTACAAAAAGTTCGCTTGCTCTTAAGGAGATAATACTGTCCTTCCGGTTACTGTGGCCACTTCAATTGCCTTGCCTCTCCCTAAGCCAGTACATGTGTCTTATATCAGATTGACGGGAAGGAAAAGGCAGGAAGTCACCTGTTAATGGGGCAGAAATGAGCTATGCAATTGGGTATTTGCCACAGTTATTTCAACTGACCATAATCTCTCACATTACCGAGAATCAACTCTGCTAACATTATACATGCATTCTGCAGTACAAATACTATGCATTTGGAGGGCTGTGGAAAAGAGGTAATTACAAAAATATGACTGAATATCAACTGTTCCCACAAGCAAGCACCCAAAAGTATCACCCAAGTTTTTAACTGGTCTCTATCCAAATACTACAGCATAGAAAAATAAACCTCCTATATTTCAGCCATCTCCTTGATTTCTTAAACAATTTATCTCATTCAAACATTTTTTAGAAGACATATACATACAGGTACACTATGTCCCACTTGGATTACACCAAGTACATTCTAGGTCAAGTTTATTTAGAAAGGCCTTAAATCTTAATTTGAGTTTGTGAGACACTATTAGATTGGAAAACAGAGGGCTCGGGGAACCTGGGTGGCTCAGTCAGTTAAGTGTCCGACTCTTGATTTCAGCTCAGGTCATGATCTCAGGGTTGTGCGATCAAGCCTAGCATTGGGCTCCACACCCAGCATGAAGCCTGCTTAAGATTCTCTCTCCTTCTGCCCCTGACCCTACCTCTCCCTCTCTTAAAAAAAAAAAAAAAATCAGAGAGCTCAATTATAGACCTAGATATATTCCTATCTCCTTGAATGACTGTTGGCAGGTCACTTAAATTCTCTGGAACACAGTTTCCTCATCTTCAAAATACGTGATAGACTAGATGTCTCAAAAGACTTCCAGCTATGAAATTCTACAATTCTCTACAACGGCCTATAAATAATTTGTGGAGGAAAGGTGAAGGAGGGCTTTAATAGAAGTAGTAGCCATAAAAACAGCAAGGATTCTATGACCCAAACTCTTGACATATCTCTATCAAAAATCAAATTCACAAATGCTCCTGCATACCCTTCCCCAACTGTCGCCCTGCAGAAGTCCTATTCTACAGACTTCCTTCCCTCCTAGCCATGGCATTCCCAAGGGTCTTGTCTTCTGATAGTCTTGCAACTCCCCAAAATTGCCAGTATGAACACAGTCTCACTTTAGTCTTTGTAACCCTAGTTCCTGTCCTCAGTCCTCCTAAATGTCTGTTTCTCTTTATGTAGCAGCATCCAGCAGTTTCTAATTCCTTGAAATTCCCAAAAGTAACCACCTTACACTGCCCTGTTAGTAATGAAAATGCACTAATCCATATTCCCTCGGTTTCTTGAACAACTTAGCCCTAAAATGAAAGCTAACCATCATTTTGGATTCTAGAATTTAGATTAAATAATTAAATGGTGGGCGCCTGGGTGGCTCAGTGGGTTAAGCCGCTGCCTTCGGCTCAGGTCATGATCTCAGGGTCCTGGGATCGAGTCCCGCATCGGGCTCTCTGCTCAGCAGGGAGCCTGCTTCTCTCTCTCTCTCTCTCTCTCTCTCTCTCTCTGCCTGCCTCTCTGTCTACTTGTGATATCTCTCTGTCGAATAAATAAATAAAATCTTTAAAAAAAAAAATAATTAAATGGTACCCTTTGTATGTTATCATTTCTTAGTCACCATAATACTTTACATTATTTCTGGCCAAGTGTCATAACTTTAATACAATTTGCAATCTGAAAACACGATATGAACTAATAAATCATTAAATAACTTTTGTGGAATATAGCTTACCATCTTGAAAATTTAAAGTTCAACATTTAGAAACTCTCTTCCCAAATGACAGTGACATGAACTTTATCCAGAAGACTACATTGATGCTTCTAAAACAGGATTTCATTTTTTTTTTTAGAGATTTACTTATTTATTTTAAAGAGAGAGAAACAGAGGTTGGAGTGGAGGGGCAGGGGGAGAATACCCCCCAGAAGACTCCCCACTGAGATCCAAGCCCAAGACAGAGCTCCACCCCACAACCTGACTCCAGCCAAAACCAGGAGTCGGACCCCCAACCAACTGAGCCACCCCGGCATCCCTAAAACAAGAATTTAAACAGAAGTAACCATATTAGTAAGCTCTATTAGGAAGCTCAGTAAACCACTATTAGGAGGCTCACAAAACACTTTGATAAAGTGTAAGACGACCAAAGACAGAAATAATAAAACAAAACAAATAAAAAACAGGACAACTACTCAACTCATAGAAAAGCTTTCCAACTTTAAGTAAAAAAAAAAAAAAAAAAAAAAAAAAAGTGACAAGAAGGAAGTTTTACTTCAGAAAAAAATTTTTATTTCTTACCTGCATAGGTTTTCTGCAGTCAAGGAACCTAAAACCATAGCAAGAATATGTTTTAAATTTCTATATTTTAATTCTGTTAAGATGTCCAGTTTTTCTATACCCATTTTCTTGCCAATCAGTCCTGCGAGGACACACTGTAGTATGGCTATTTGCCCCCCATCCTTCTCTTCTAACCATTCATGAGCACCAGTTTGCTGGAATCTTTTTCTTTTGTTTCTCATGAAGAGCTCATGCACTAACTGCAAGGCTGGGGTCTTTGATAAATTCTTAAAGCTTAAAATCTCATTGTAACTGCTCAGCTGATTCTCCGAGGTGTCTGAAGCAGCTGCTGGTGTTGCTTCCAAGTCAGAGTCCCTCTCTGTCTCAGATTGTGAGCTTTGTTCCTGAAGTGTGGACAATCTTCTCAGCCTTCGAAGATGCCTTGACTTTTTTATGGTGTCCTCTACTTTGACTGTTCCCTTTTGTTTCCAAAGTTCTCGAAAAGAACCCTCCTGGTCAGAGAGGGAATCTTCTGATTTATCCAAACAAAGTGAGTTAAAACCACTGTCTTCAGGTGTTGAAATATTGCCCTTCACTTCAGCTGTAGGAGAGAGCCTTTGACTTGCATTAAATTTAATGTTTGCTACAAGACTACTTACTGGAGTCACACATAAGTTTTTGTTTGTTCCATAAGATGTTCCACTAGCAGAAGAGCCCAGAAGTTTGGGATATATATTCTCATCATTAACAAATAGACTGCTATCACTAAGGTCATGTGTGATAGAGTCTTTAAAACTATTACCCTGAATCGGAGATATACATTCAACCTCAAATAGGCTACAGTCATCTTTGGAATCATCAACTGTGGAAGTCTTCTGTTGAGAAAAATTAAGTCTCAATTTTTGACTGCTGGAAGTTGCTTCTTCTGTTTTCAAAGAACTAGTAACTAAAGGACTAAAACTGGTTTGTCTTGGAAAACTTGAAGCACTGCCTGGAATATTTTTTTCTAAGTTGAGAACTTGGTTTATACTACTTTCTAAAGAACTACTTTGTGATTCAAAGTCCCCCTTTAGGAGAGAGAAAGATATGTCCAACCTTCTACGCAGTAAACATTTTTTTCCACTGACTTTAGGGGTTTCACAAAGTTCTGGAGTTTTATCATTCTCCTTCCTAGAAAAGAAAAATCTCTTTTTTTGAGTTGGAGATTCTAAAGTATGAGTTAAGCCCAGATTTGAAATTTCAGGATGTTCATGGATTAATGTTGGGCCTTTTTCTTTCTCTCCAAAAAATTCTTCATCTGTATTATCAAAGTTGCAAGGTTGTAACAGCTCATTGTAGCCACTATCTTGAAATGAAGATGTGGAGCAAAAGTCTCTGAAGCTGGAGTGTTCGAAATTGACAGCAGGACGGTCCACCTCATTTCCGGCTCCACGGCAAGCTTGACTTGAACGTCTCTCTGACATCTTCAAATCTGTTTCTACAAAGGGAAAACAAATTTTATTCTTCCTTTGAAATGAGTAGCCTAGCAGCTTATACCAAAATATATTACTTGTTAGGAATAAGAATAATAATAGAAAATGTTATGGCAATAAGAAAAGTTACTTTAAAAAATAAATCTAGGGGGCGCCTGGGTGGCTCAGTTGTTAGGTGTCTGCCTTCAGCTCAGGTCATGATCCCAGGGTCCTGGGATGGAGCCCCACGTGGGGGGGTCCCTGCTCAGCGAGGAGTTTGCTTCTCCCTCTGCCTGCTCCCCCTGCTTGTGCTCTCTTTCTCTGTCAAGTAAATATATAATATCTTTTAAAAAATAAACAAAAAATAAATCTACTCTACTATATACTCATTTGTATATTACTTTACCCAACTTTTAGCATCATAAAAACCAAAATATGGGGGTTATACATATTCACAGATAATTCGATTAAGCATAGTCTAAGTGCTACGCACAAATATTTTCTTAAACTACACTTGAGGGAAAAATCTGGCAGCATCATTTTTAGATTTTATTACCTTATGATTTTAACAGAACATAATAATAGTTTTAACATTCTAGCTTATTCATACTGGCCTATATCTAGTCAGTTGGATATTTCCCTTCAAAGTTCTGGTATTTAAGTAAAGCTGTTTAAAAAACTTTATGCCAGGGGCGCTGGGGGGCTCGGTGGGTTGGGCCTTTGCCTTTGGCTCGGGTCCTGGTCTCAGGGTCCTGGGATGGAGCCCCGCATCGGGCTCTCTGCTCGGCGGGGAGCCTGCTTCCCCCTCTGTCTCTGCCTGCCTCTGTCCCTGCTTGTGATCTCTATAAATAAATAAAATCTTAAAAAAAAACTTTATGCCAATTTTTGAACAAGTTTTTGAAAATGTGTCAAATGAGTGCTGCCACAAGATTTGACTGCAACTTGACCAAGCAATGCCAGGATAATGTTATTCATACTTGTAAGATAGGCCTGTCACAGAAATCCAATCCCCATGACCATTCTCAAGGTCTGAGCTCCCAGACGCATAACTTTGCAAAGACTCCTTGGCTGTTTGATAAATTACTAATATTCTTCTTGAGCTAACCAAAATGAACCAGCGCCTCAGAGATACAAGGCCATTACAAACCTAGCATGTTATTCTTGTCTCATTTTCTAAATATTTTGAGACATCAGGTCCAGTTGCAGGCTTGAATTCACAGATAACAGACAACTCTTTGTGGGAAACTCACCCTTAATAATATTCTTGAAATTACAAGTACAGAATTCAAGTAAATTACTTTGTAATTACTTAATGAATTATTCAGTAATTATATGTGTAAGGAATGACACTAGGAAATACTCCTCAACCTTCTCTTTTTTTTTTTAAATTTACTTTTTCTCTTTGATTTTTTTTTTCTCCTCAGTGTTTTGTTCTTTTCAGCAGTCAACTCTGGTAATTTATTTTTTTAATTTTTTATTAATTATTTTTATTAACATATAATGTACTATTTGCCCCAGGGATACAGGTCTGTTCCTCAATCTTTTCTTAACAGTATTATCACATTCCTTCTTTTTCAAAACTCAAATCTTAAAGGGTGTGAAAGGAAGAAAATTATCATAGTTTCTGGTATTTCTCCAGATTATTCAAAGAACACTAAGAAAACTGTCATTCTTTCAAAGTTTTCTCCAGACCAAATGCATGATTTTTCTCTATTAAAAGATCCCGGGAAAGTATATTTTAGTTGTCTATAATGGGGAAAGTAATATATTTATGTTTAGGTTAGTTAAGTGCCTAAGTGAATGAGTTTATATTTATGAATGAGTAATATATTTATGCATAGTAATTAAGTGCTTAAGTGAATGAGTTCTTAAAAACAACAACAACAACAACAACAAATGCTATTTCAACCACAAAACAAGATTTTTTATGGTAAAATGATCATGGGATGATTACTACTAGGAAAAATATCTAAGTGTTTTTCAACCTTTTAAACTTATATTCAATTCTGGTAAATCTCATACATGTTATTTTCTGATCTAGACCACAGAGATCATAAGAATGACTGCTATCTTCTGTACATGCTTACCAACCAAGATAATCAAACTTTGCTTTCTATAACTTGTATTATGTTTCAAGACAATTTTGTTTTCCAAATATTAAGTTAGTGACATATAATGAGCTTTCACATTGCACCTCCACCCATGAATATTTCCTCTTCTTTGAGAATCAGTCTACAAAGCAAGTTAAAATTAGGTCAAGAAATCCTTCTTAAATTTTAGAGCAATTGTAACTATTCTACCTTACCACTAGGTGTCTCACTATGCTAGAATTTGGGAAACAAGCAAATTGTTAGAAACAGAATGGGAAGGCAGATATCCTCTCCCCCTACCACCCATAAGCCACTTGATATAAACATACACATGTAAAGAAAAAAATAATTTTTTTCTGTTCATCTATACATCTGAAATTACCTCCAATGTGCTTTCTCTTCTGTCATCAAGACCATCTTTTTATTATCCCAAGATGTTGGTCTCAAACAAAACTTGGTTCTTCAAAACTTAATTTTTAAATCATTTTAAAAGACTCATGCAAAATTTTGAAATGGCCATTGACTTACTTAATTTTACTGACTCAACAGCTCACTAATTAATCAAATGGGCCTCCTTGGTACTCATATTTTAAACACCAGGCTCCTGAGTGTTGAGAACACACCTCTGTTTGTTCTAAAAAAAGAAAAAATTGGCAAGAATATGGAGAAACAGGAACCTTCACGCACCGCTGCTGGGAATGCAAATCGGTGCAGTCACTGTGGAAAACTGTGTGGTTTCCTTAGAAATTAAAAATAGAACTATCATATGATCCAGCAATTCCACTTCTGGCTATTTATCTAAAGAAAATGAAAACACTAATTTGAAAAGATATATGTACCTCTATGTTCATTGCAACATTATTTAAAAGAGCCAAGATATGGGAGAGACCTAACTGTCCATTGATAGATGAACTGATAAAAATGTGGTACATATAATGCAATGAAATATTACTCGGCCATAAAAAAGAATGAAATCTTGCCCTTTGTGACATGACTGGACTCATAAGGTCTTACGCTAAGTGAAATAAGTCAGACAAAAACAAATACCATATGATTTCACTTACTGTGGAATCTAAGAAACAAAACAGACAAACAAAAAAGAAACAGACTCATAGATACAGAGAACAAATCCCAAGTTGCCAGAGGGGATGGGAGTAAAGGGTGGTCAAAATAAGTGAAGGGAATTAGAGGTACAAACTTCCAGTTATAAAATAAATAAGCCTTGGGAATGTATACACCATAAGGAATACAATGAATAATATTGTAGTAACTTAGATAATAACTAGATCATACTAGATTACTTATATACATTATATAATAATGATATGTATCATACTAGGTATATAACTAGATAATAATAACTACACCTATCAAAGTGATCATTTCATAATGTATAAAAATATAGAATTGCTATGCTGTACACCTGAAACTAATGTAATATTGTATGTCAACTATAATTCAATTGAAGACCACTTGTCAAGTTAGAGAATGTAATACTTACTATTTAACTATATTAAAACCAAATTTTCATTTGTTAAAGTGGAAAATCTTACCATCTGTAAGTCTTGAGTTCTTAGATGTCAGTTAGGTGAGTTTCCAAACAAGAAAATCTTTCACTTTGCCTTTAAAACTGATGCCAAAGTATTACCATTTAGAAACTCTAGTTTGGACAACTGGAACGTGCAGCAGCGTGATGACCGCTAAGATTTGAAAGATACGTAAAGTACATACTGCACGGATTATTCCTAACACATGAAAAGGCCTAAATGATTCTGAGTTCCTTTCAGCTTTCCAGATAATGGTAATTTCAATAACGCTGTTCTCTCCAGCTAGTCTGGGAACTGAGGAACCTTCCCAAATTCGGGTTTTCTGAAAATGCAGTGTAAGCCGCCCCGCTGTCATTTACTCCCCCAAGGTGCTATCAGCGGGTGGGGGGTTAACGGTCTCACCAGGGCGTCCTTTGGCCCCGTTCGTCCCTCCTGGACCTTCCCAAGGCCCAGCTAGCGGGGGAACGGGGGTCGCCTCGGCTCCGCCTCCAGGACCCAGAACGCCACCGAAAGGCGGAGGGTGGGTGGGCGTCCCCTGGAGCGGAGCGAGCGGGTAAGAGATCGGCTTCCGGGCACCTCTCTAGTCCCAGCACCTGGAAAGCAAAGTGGGGCCGGACCCGGGACCTCCCGGAAGCCCGCACACACTTGGGCCCCCCACTCCCGCCCACCTGGAGACCGAGACGCACCCGCACCGACCGGGCCGAGGGGCCAGGCGGGAGGGGAGACAGGCAGCCGCCGCTGGGAGCGCCGGGCAGAAGCCGCCGCCTCGCCCCCAGGGATGCCCGGCTATGGCAACCCCCACGCCACGTTCGCGTGGGGCCGCCGCGTTTCCCTCCTTCGGTTTGAACTGCCCGCCTTGAGTAACCGCTACGCGCCGCCCCGCCCCGCGCCGCCCCTTCCTCCGCCTCCGCGGCGCCCCCGCCGGCCGCCCCTCGACCTGCAGGCGGCGGCCGTGTTCCCGCTTCCCCAGAGGAGGTCTCGTCCTCCCTTTTCCCACCCTTCCACCCCCACCCAAAGCTCAGCCGGCCTTTCTAACTTCATGGGCTCCGCCTCACCCCATTCTCACCTCGGGGAGCATTATATAGAAAGGCCACTAATCCTATAGTGGGTCCTGCATTAAAAATAATGCAGGCGAGTATTCACTTGAAAATGTTCGCTGAGATATAAAAGGCAGGTTACAAACCGAACGACGCCTTTTAGCAGTAGAACTATACACAGGATGAGGTCTGAAGGGTATGACTAACTTGGTTACAGCATCCCGACACGGGGTTATGCTTGATTATGCTAGAGGGGGTATTTTATATTATTCACCGGACACCTACCTATGCAAGGCTCCATCCTTCTACTCTTGGCAGCTTCCTCCTAGTCTCCTTTTTCTGGCTTCTTTTTCTCTGCCTTTTCCCTAAACGAGACGGCCTACCTCAGCATTTGTTTAACTTTACCATTATGTGCTTACATAATTCTTATGCAGAACTTCTCCCATCACTTTTAAGCCAATAATAGCAGCTACCACCACTGTCCTCCAACTGGATATTTCTTTCTCTGTCTGGATGCCCTTTAGTCATCCAAAATGAAATATATCAAACTCACTAAGTCTTCCAGTCACTAGGCGAGGTACTGGGAATACAAAGATGAGCACAGCACAGTTATGGCCTTAAGGGGCTCACAAGCACTGTAATAGAGGGATGTAGTAGCACCAAGGAAAGAGGATCAACTAACCCTAAGGAAGGAGAAGGGATGGGGCTAACTTTATAAAGACCATGATTTGAGGTGGATTTTGAGATGAATGACAATTTAAAAAGTCAGATAACAGGTGATTTCAATCTCAAAATGTGCAAGAGCAGGAAACTTGGAATAGCTGGGCAAACTCTAAATAGTTTGTTATACCTAGAAACTCAGATTTATTTGAAGAAAGGGGCAAAAAAAATTTTTTTTTGAGAAGGGGAAGAAGCCAAGTCATGGAGAATTTCAGATGCATTTAAGAGTCTGTTGATCCTCTAAGCATTGCAGAGCATTTTAATTTTAGAAAGATCACTCTGGTGGCAGAAGGGAGAGCGGAAGGAAAAGAGGTGAGGGTGGTTGCAAGGAGACCACTTAGGGAGCTATTGCATGACTCTGGAAGCCAGTGGGGTTGGAGAAGAACCTGGACTCAACATATTCTGTTAGCAGAATCAAGTTCATGGGGGCAGGGATTGAGGAAGCACAGAGGACAGATTTGGAAGAAAATAAGATTAATTTAGTATGAGGTTGTTAAGTTTCAGGTACCTGTAGGACTTAAGGTAAGGAACTGGTAAATTATACATGCTTCAAGATCGCACCTCTCTAGAAGGTGCTATGTCTAGAAGATACCCACACGTACCAAGATAGAGTGAGTAGTGCCCTCTCTAGCTCTTCAAACAAATCTCTATTACAGCCATTTTGCCCTTGCTCCATGACAGCATTTGCAATCGTCGTTCTCTGCTGAATTTTCTCTGTGTAGTTTAACACCTTCTAAAAATCTCATATTACTGGGATGCCTGGGTGGGTCAGTCAGTTAAGTGTCTGCCTTTAGCTCAGGTCATGATTCCAGGGTCCTAGGATCAAGTCCTAGGGCTCTTTGCTCAGCAGGGACCCTGCTTCTCTCTCTGCCTGCTGCTCCCCCTGCTTGTCCACTCTCTCTCTCTGACAAATAAACTACTCAGAAAAAAATTAAAAAAATAAAAATGTCATATTACTTACTTATCTTGTTTAATGTCCGATCCTCACTCCCACTATAATGTAAACAGGGCAGGGAATTTTGCCTATGGCTTAAAAAAATCCACAAAATCCCAAACACCATTTAAACATTGCGGTTTCTCTTTCTCTAGTTAATTTTTCTTTATTTTAGCATAACTAAAGCGCAGAAAAGTTAACATAACTCCCTTCTATCCTAAGAATAATTTTTACTCTCCTCCCCACTGCCCCCAACCAAAAGGGCAAAAAAGGAATCTAGTTACCTATCGCTTGTCCTGGCTTTACTCATATACTCCAAATACAAATAACTAAGCAATATTTTCCTATTCTTTGCCCACCATAGTCTTTGGCCTTTTTGCTTCCTTTCTGGATTGGAAGTCATACCATTACTGACCTTAGAATTCTAAACCCCATCTGTTTTCCACAAGATCTAATTCTTCTTTTGGGGACCATCCAGCAAAACATAATGAAAGACTTTTCCAATCACGATAACTTAAGCTATGCTGATATACTTTAAAAAAATAGGATCAAGGAATATGAAAAACAGATTCAGGGAGGAAAATAGCAACTTGCATCTCCATAACCATATTTTAAGGAATTAAAAGCACTAGTATCCAAGATAACAAGACAACTGCCTTCATTTGGAGAGAGCAATGCAGTGATATCTGCACATGGTAAGTGCTCAAGAAAAGTTAGCTGTTACCAGTGTTAACAATTTCCATTGACCATGCTCCATAGTGATCCTAAGACTAATGGATCCTGCTGATAGGAAAGAGGGTGTTGGATTGGGAACTAGCATTAACATGGACTTTTGTTGAAATTCTGGATCTCCTTGATACCACTTCTAATTACCCTACCCTTCCACAGGGTCCCAGGATCCATTTCTATCCTACATGTGCTGATCCAGTCTAATCTCCATAGACTGTGTTATGTGCCAGAATCATTTTGTACCTCAACTGGAGAGTCAGAATCCCATAAAGTGTGCAATGATTTAAGTTATACTTTCTGGATCACTCCATCATCTTTCTCTTTTTTTAATTTAATTTTTATTTATTTATTTGACAGAGAGAGCAGCAGCAGCAGAGGGAGAGGAAGAAGCAGGCTCCGAGGCTGAGCAGGGAGACGAATGCAGGGCTCAATCCCAGGCCCCTGGGATCATGACCTAAGATGAAAGCACACACTTACCTGACTGACCACCCAGGCGCCCCTCCATCATCTTTCTCTTTTAACAACAGTTTTATTTAGTAATTTTTGCAGGAAAGCCCGTGTCGACTGTTCTGTTGCATTACCCTCTTCTCTTTGGTTGAGAGCTAATTGTCAAAATACTTAGGCTGTATGTTGGCCGGTCTGTGAAGGAAGCAGCAGGAAAATCCATTATGTTTCCCTGGAAATTAAAAAATTGGCAGCTAGGAAGACCAAGAAAATGAAGTTAAATCTCCCAACGTGGTCTGTAGAGGTGCAATCAATTTGAACTCCTTCTGGAAGTGAAAGGTGAAGCTGAAAGTTCTCAGGTTGCTGGAGGGAAGACTAGAAAGCAGTATATTCTGCTTAATAAGAAATCAAAGACATGTTGGGGAGAAAGTCTGTTTCTCTGCTTAACTATAATTAAACAAATATTTTCTAAATTTTAATTACTTTATTTTCTTCTTCCTTCTTCTGTTATCAGTGAAAACCTGTGAAAGAAGCAAACGAATGTAAACATTGTTAATCCAACTTCTATTAATCTCACTGATTTTGATCTTTCAAAAAACACACCTCCACTGCGCAGACCGTTTTGTTTCATCTAGGGAGGAATACATGCGATGTAAAGGTCAATCAAGGGATAGTGACTGCTACCAATATCCCTCAGTTTTAAGTGGAATTAATTTATGTAGCTGCCTTCATGCCGCCTTTGCTTTTTTTTTTTTTTTTTTTAATTTATTTTAGAGAGAGAGACAGCAGGAGCGAGAGGGACAGAGAAAGAGAGGGAAAGAGAGACTCTCAAACAGACGCCATGCTGAGTGCCGGGCCTGATGCTGGGATCCGTCCCAGGACCCTGAGATCACGCCCTGAGCCGAAATCCGTACCAACTGGGCCACCCAGGCGCCCCTAGCCTTTCCTTTAAAACAAGTAAAAGGAGAAGGTCAGAGGGACGACAGGAGCCTACGAAAGTTTCAAAAAAGCAAAAATGAAATTATGTGGCTAGGGGGCGCCTGCTCCACTGGCCCAGCACAGGTACCAAGGAAAAACAATCTGAAAAGCGCTTTTTTAAGTGAAAATCAATGATGGAGTCGCTCCTTCCGTGTTCCTCCGAGTAACGGTCAGCCTAGGATTCCAGGGGCAGCTGTCATTTCACTTTTTCTTCTAACCCTCAGCCCTCCTGGAAAAGTTTACTTTCTGCTGACTAGTCAGAAAAGCAGACTCCCTCCTATTTGAGGAACTACTGAAATGTTCTGCTATCCTGAAAAGCGAAATAAGCTGGGGCGAAACACGGACGGCCTCCCTACAGAGCCTAACCCACAAAACCTCGGCTTTACAGCTCCTGTACAATCAGGGTTCCCCTGCCACGCCCGGGGCGGAAGGGGCGGGGACTAGGGGCGTCATAGGCCAGCGCCGGAAGTTGGGTGAGACACTACGAGGAGCCATAATCCGCCGAGAGTTTTAGAGTACGGAGTTTCTTTGGGCTGCGTGGTTAGGGACTTGGTGGATTGTATTTAGACGTGAGTATTTGAACCCAAACAGGTAAGACCCTCAAGGTTAAAAGGGTCCGGTATGGAACTAGAATTGGGAGAAGCTGGGGATTGAGTAGATGATGTTAATCCTTTGCCCTGTTTGGCTTTTGAGGGTTATTCTCCCCTTATTTTCGATTCGCACGTTCCCGTGTTGAAGGATATAATTTATTGCCTTCCGCTGAATTTTGGAAAAGTAGAACTTGGGGTTAAATGGAAACCGAGCTTTGCCGTCAAATCCCAGTCCCCCTACCTCTTAATAGCTGAATAGCTCTGCGCAAGTTGACTTCTACAAGGCTGGGTTTCTTCATCTGTAAAGTAAGAGTAATAGCTCCTAGGATTGTTGTAAAGATTATAGTGAAATAGTATGTGTAAAGTTACTGTGTCCAGTTTGGGGGTAAGTGCGCAGTACGTTGTGTTTTTCGTCCATTAGCTCTACCCATAGGGTTTGAAAAAGTACAGGTTAGGAATTGGGACTTTTTTCGGTTTCCCTGAGAAAAATGAGGCCTGGTTGGATTTGTGAAGAGCCCTTTTGAGATACTCAGTATTTGAGCCTGTGATTTCAGGGGTTATCGATGGACACGCAGAAGGACGTTCAACCCCCAAAGCAGCAGCCTATGATATATATCTGCGGAGGTAAGAATAGAACTTACATAAAGTAGGAGTGTTTTACTTCAGAGTTTTGAAGTAATTACATTTAACTTTGTCTTAAATGAGTCTCTCATCTTTAAATTTATAAAGCAGAATACTATCAACTGTTTAAAAAAAAAAAGAGTTCTCTCATTAAGAATTCATTTTCTGTCCAAGAAAAAGTGCACTGTCCATAACTCTTTTTTCTTTCCTCCTTAGTATATTGTTGTTAAATAATAAAAGTTCAACTGAGTACATTTTAAAGGTGGAATAGGCTTATTTAATGGATTCGTGAATCAGGCAACATCCTGTCTAGCAAGTAGATAGGCGCTCCAAAGGGCTACAGAAAAAGAAAGGTTTTTAAAGGTAGAGAGGAGTGGAAAAAAGGAAATTATTAGCAAAGAATCCATTGTTTGAGGTAAGATGGCCTTTCTAAGAGGAGGAACAGAAAAGCAGTAAATTCCCTAATGCTGACAAAGAAATTCCTATGGTGACTGGTCAGAGGTTACATTTCTGCGTGGTTGAAACTGCAGTTAGGTTAAGTGTTAAGCCTTGGTTTACTGGGTTTACTGACTTGGCATCTTAACCTGAGTGAGGCTGTTTGGGGCCTGTGGTTTTCTTTTCAGCATGGTCATAGCACCTTACTCTTAAGATTGAGTACATTTTAGTGCTTTGGGTGAAAAATAGAGTTAAGATAATTTGCCTTTTTATCCTATTTGCCCTTTAGACACTGAATAAACATGCTTTCTTTTTTAGAATGTCACACAGAAAATGAAATAAAATCCAGGGATCCAATCAGATGCAGAGAATGTGGATACAGAATAATGTACAAGAAAAGGACTAAAAGATGTATCCTTTTAATTTGGTAAATATGAAGTAGGTGGACGTGAAGAATAATGCTTGTGTTAGTCAAACACTAATTTCTGGTGTTAAAAAATGGTAATAACAGACTACCAAAAAAGGGGCTCGATTAGGATTTTCATAATCATTTAATTTTTATGTTCATAATAAAAATTCAGTGTAGAGGCATATATTAAATATCTGAATATTAGTTGATTTTAGTTCTCATAAGTCTGTTTTACAGGATCTGAATTTTACTTATACTCCTTGATTTTGAGTTTATGGACAAACTAAATTATACAAAGAGAAATAAATACAAATACTGTATATGAATGCTACTTAATGGATAAAGTAAGGATTACAAATTAGCCACAAGACTGAAAGTATATTATTATGTGGTAATTAATAGTACAATTAAAATATTTTTTAAACCGCTAAGTTACCTTGATAACATTGCTTTAGTGTTTTTTTTTGGTGCATTAGTCTTTTGTGTCATGGAAAGGGGACTAATAAAAATTGAAGTCTTTTTCTTTTTTTTTCCGTTTCCAAATATCATAGTAAATACTGAGTTCCAATCTATTATACGCTGTGGATTAAATAACTAGCTGATTGCAAAGAGAAAATGACTTGGAAGTGTTAAATCCTTCATATAATTTTTAAATATTTTTTTTGTCCTTAACTCATTTTAATACAGTGGTGGTTTTTGATGCTCGATGAAACATGGAATTTGGAGGATTATCTTCATTTGTACTTGGATTTGCTATTAATGTTACATAGTTTTTGATTAGTGTATATATCTTTATGAATACAAATAGCATTTCATTTTAAAAACCATCTTGTATGTAGATATTTATTTGATAGTTTCTATAAAGAAGTTTTTTGTTCAGTTATGTGATTTATGGCCACCTGAATGGCTCAGTCTGGCTTCTGCTCAGGTCATGATCCCAGGTTCCTGGGACAGAGCCCCACAGCAGACTCCCTGCTCAGCGGGAAGCCTGCTTCTCCCATTCCCATTACCCCTGCTTGTATTCCCTCTCTTGCTATCCCTCTCTTTCTCTCTGTTAAGTAAATAAATAAAGTCTTTAAAAAAAATTACCTGATTTATAACTTTTATTGTGTGTGATCTGACACAGAGTGAAAGTTTTAAAGTGCTTCCCTAAACCACACTTCTAATTAAGGCCTAGAATCTTTTGGGGGCCTTGTTAAAAATGTTTTCTAGGGCCTTGTGAAGGTCTGATTAAGTAAGTTCCTTGGAAACTACTGTTTTACATCACCAACTTTGTAAACTCTCCGTTTTCATTTTGTATTGAGTATACCAGTGTACTTAGCATGCATGCATTATTTTGAGTTAAATTTTTCATTTTTACTTGATGTAGGCCTTCTGTATTTGTATATAAGGCTTGACTGTATTTTAAGTCTTGGGTGAGGGAAAAGAAACTTTAATGGTTGCATCTGTAAGGAAAACTCGCAGTAAAGTGGATGAAAGATATTAAGGCGGGTGTAGTTTCTGAGGTGTAATCAGGAAGGTAAAAAATTCTGCCTTCAGGGTACTTAAAAAAATATGTATATTTCTGGTTTACACTGGCCTATGGATAAATGTTTAAAAGTTTTGCCCTGATCTTAGGGATATGGATACTCAGATACTCCCATCTGTTCCAGGATTCCATCATTATGGGATGTCACCTAACATTCATTTTGAAGATAGGTATATTCCACCTTCACTATTAGCTGTGTGTGTCTCTGACATTCAAAAAATTAACTGTGCCATTTTAAAAAAGCACTTGTATTTCTATTACCATCCTTGAATACTAAGTTCTAGAAATGTTTTAAGTGCTATACAAAGTACTACAATGCTCAAATTTTTCAGAGTGCTTCCTAGGTCCAGGTTTTCCTTTAGCCATACCTTTTGTACTTTTGTAATTCTGCTCTGTTTCTTCTTGACCTTGTCTTTTTCAGACAAAAGAGTCCCAATAAATATGACAGTCCCCTAAACAAACCCTAACACTTGGGATGACATTATTGTTCTTAGCTGTTTTGATTTTATCATAGGTCTTTTATGTATCATTAGTTTAATTGAATATTATTATTTGGTTAACTAGACAGTGGTTTAGTGGAAAAAGTATTACCACTGGAACTCAAGACCAACATTTCAACCAGTCACTTCTTTGTGTCCCTTTCATCTACAAAAATGGAAGTGATTTTACCTCTTGCCTACCTGGACAATTTTAATGGGCAAAAAGGTAAAATAGATATAAAATTGCTTTAAAAGATTTGGGGGTGGCTGGGTGGCATAGTCAGTTGAGCATCCAACTCTTAGTTTCAGTTCAGGTCATGATCTCAGGGTTGTGGGATCAAGCCCAGTGTCAGGCTCTGCACTGAGCGCAGAGGCTCTCTCCCTCTGTTCCTCCCCTCCCTTCTCTCTTTCAAAAACAAGTAACAGCAGATCTTTAAAAAAAGACTTTCAAATAGTGTTGTATAAGTATAAATATCAGTAAATCTGAGCTTAAAGTTAACACGTAACTTGTCCCCTGCTTAAAATGTTTACCAATGACTATGGACATGCATGTCCATGAGGAAAGCATGGAAATTGAATCAAATCCAGCCCTGCTTCTCAGTGACTAGCCAGTTCACTTAATGTAAGCTTCATGGTCAAAGTGGAGGGATTTATGATGGTCTATATGGTGCTTTGAGGCTCTGAAGTTACCTTCAGAGATTAAAGTTGTGAAAAATGTAAAAACAGTAGCTGAAATCAGAAATGGCCAGTCTTGGGGCTCCTTGTTGGCGTAATCAGTTAAGCGTTGGACTCTTGATTTTGGCTCATGTCATGAACCCAGAGTTGTGAGGTGAGCGTTTTCTCTCTCCCCTCTGCATACCTCACCCCACCCCACTCTGTGTTTGTCTCTCTCCAAAAAACCCCACAAAAGACAAAAAAAAAACACAACAGTCTCAGGAGTGTCTTCCTGGCTCAGTCAGTAGAGCGTGCAACTCTTGACCCTCAACAGTTGTGAATTCAAGTTCCATGCTGGGTGTAGATATTACTTAGAAATATTAAAAAAAAAAAGCCATTCATAAGACTAAATTATAAGTTGAGAAGTTGTAAACTGAGAAACCTGTAAAACAAGTTGCCTCCTCACATACACAAATGTCTGAACATGTCCATACCTCCTAGAATAAGTTCTGTGTAGAAAATTAGGAGGGAGTGGTTATTTGAGCAGAAGGCTGAAGGATGAGAAGGAGCCTGACATACTAAGACAAGGGGAAGGAGCATTCCTGAAATTGAGGAAATAGCCAGTGTAATGTCTCAGGGGTGGAAAGTAAGCTTGCCTTGTTCCCACTTTAGAATGAAGCCCATGTGACTCAAACTTTAGGTAGGCAGAGGCCTGCTTATTTATGGTCTCATGATGGGAGTAAACAGGAGTGTAACATGATTTAAGACAAGATTACTTGAGCTGTTCTGTGAGAATGGATAATGTAGGGATGGATGGATGGATGGGGAAGCCAGCTAAGGACCACCTGCAGTAGTTCAGGATAACGATTATGGCAGGCCAGAGTGATAGCAATAGAGGGACTAAGAAGTGGCTGGTTGTAAGATAACATTTTGAAGTTGAGCTAATGGGACTTAGTGATGGCTTGGCTAATATTTTAAGAGCTCAGTAAACTACAGACTTCGGTGAAAGGCTTTGGGTTCAAATATCCACAGTGTCCTTTGTTAACAGTGTGTGACTTCACCAGGGTACACTTTCTTTATTTGTAAGGTAGGCAGGAAATAATCGCACCTACCTCACAGGTTAGTTGCAAAATAAAATGAATCCGTAAAAACTCTTAGCCTAATCAATGTTAATTATTATCACCATTGCTGTATTATTATTTTCCACACATGATTAGTTTGAAGATTAGTGTCCCAGCTACTAGGCTTGCTGCCTCCATACTCTTCAGATTGCTCTTTCTGAAACACGTTGTAGATACTCTGAACGTTTAATTATATTTCTATAATTAAGTAGGAGTAGTTATCAACCTATCTTGCGGGTGGTGTAACAATCCAGAACAGTAACGGCGTTTTAACTCGATCGGAAACGAACGCAATGGAGAAAGGGAGCTCTCCCACTTGGACTCCTTTCTGGCCTAATAGTCGTCTGTGCGAAGAGGCTGGGCTGTGAGGCCTATCTGCGAGGTAGGGGATCGAGGGCCAGCCAATCATCCGCAGAGGCTCTGGTCCCGCCCCCGGCGGTCCGCCTCTGGCGGGTGGGGGCTCGGCGGGGCGACACGCCCCCAGCTGCGCACCTGCGGCTTGGGTGGTAAATTGTGCCCGGGCAGCATCCTCTGCGTGGCGTCCGCGAACCAGGTGAATACCTGCCGGCCAGGAGTAAGTTACATCTTCCGTCGCGGTTCCCTTCGGAACTGGGGTGAAAGGCGGGCCCCGAGAAGCAAATGCACGGTCGGAATCGACTGAGGGAGCGGGTTATGGGATGAATAAACGGGGGGCTTTAGTTTACTGTGGCGGAGGGTAGCGGATGTTGGGACAGGGTCGCAACATGGGGGTTGCCGGGGTCCGCCGGCGGCGACCAGTCCTGGAGACCAAAGCCGGGGAGTGGGGAGCAATTTCAGAGGGTCCCAAAGTGCCCCCCGACCGTTATGTTGACTGTAGAACTCTGGGTTCGCGGCCGCCCCCCACCCCCAGCCGCTCCCGGCCATGCTGTACACAGAAACCGTTGCTAGGGCAAAGGGAACCAGTTCCTTTCGATTTCGGCCTGCAGGGGGCGCTCGACCCTGTGGTTGCTGGATAGAAAGTTCCCTGGTGGAGGAAAACAGGTTTTCGTGTTAATTAACCATCTCATTTTCCGATGGAGGTGTTTCTGTCAGCCGATTAGGGAATATGGGAAATGGATGTGGATCAGGATGACCGAGAAGAGATTAAATCCAACTAGAATCAAAGCTTTTCCTAATCAAAGAAATTCCAATCGGATATGGGAGGGTTCTAACGAGAGCAAATGAACTGTTGTATGACTTGTTTTTTGGAACTTGAAAGTTAACATTTAGTAGTCTTGAAATGTGCATCTTACTAGGAAAAACAAAACAAACATGGAAGTCTTCAAAAAGGATTTTCAGAGAAATGTTAAAACCGTGTGCAGAATGAAATTCATTTGATTAGATAAGAGATGGCTCTCATTTAAAATGTTTTTCACTGTATTTTCACTGTATTTCACTGTGTAATCTCAGCGGTTGCAACACAAATTCGAGATCATCTATTTTAATCCCATTGGATGCTTAAGTTCTTCTATCAAAGATCCGCCAACTCTTTAGAAAAATTCTGGTGCAACCCATTCTGTTCTGGGAAGCATCAGTAATTTAAAAGTTCTTCATGTTGCTTTCCATAGTTTCTACTCTTAAGGCTATCCTTGTAATGAATGTATCATTTATCATTCTGGGCCCTGCCAGTATAGCATGAAAACCACAGTCTCATTTCTCCACTGGATCTCATCTGAAAGCTGATGTCTTCTGTGTTCTACGCCCAGTTAAACCCAGCAGGAATATGGAGGAGAAGCTGACACCAATCCTTCTCTCTCTCTCTCTCTCTCTTTTTTTTTTTTTCCCAGAAATCTGATGTATGACCAGAATTCCAGAAAGCAGCATGCTGAAGGAAATACTTTTGGTCAATTAGGCCCATTGCTACTTCTTGTTTTAAAATTTATAACCCAATATGTTTTACTGCAGTGGTTTTTGAAACACTTTTGATCAGTGACTCATGATGAGAAATATATTTTGCAACATGTGCATTTATATTCACACATTTGTCATTTGTTTGTAGAGACACGACATAAAAGTTTTTACAAAAT